ACATATAATACTTTTAATTTGTTTAGTGTTACCACTGCTTCAATGTTCAGCACTGCTTTGAAGACACGTCACACATTTTCAAATGCTTAATGCTCAATAGTTATACTTTTGAAATCAATAATCAAAGAAGTGACAGGACTAAATGAGGTTTATTCATCCAAAATAGATACTGGTTAACAGTGTAGCAATTGATGCAGAATGAAACCAATGTTGTGTGTTTGTGCAAGTGTGACTTTCATTTCTTTATTTTCATTTAAAAGTTATTGTAGGTATGATATCTGTCTTTATTTACTACTCACAAACAATTGATTCCCTTATTCTACATACACAAGTGCGCACATCCTTCTGCATCTCATTTGTTGCATTGCACAGGGCAGGATTTTTATTTATTTATTTATTTATTTATTTATTTATTTATTTATTTATTGTTATTGATGCAACTGTTATCAGTTGCAGTCAAGATCTGGATTAACACATGCACACACACACACACACACACACACACAAAAAAAAAAAAAAAAAAAAACAATGGTTACATTTATTTCATAGTTCAACACCACTAATCCAGCATGGTGAGAATCATGCATGTTATCATTAACAAAGAACCTCAACTTTTCAAACATAGAGTTTTAAAAAGATTCTTATCACAGTTTTTACAGGCCCGTAAATCACTACTCATTTGAAAACCCCCTCACTGCATGTACTACAATGTTTTCATTCTTATGGTTGCATTCAAGTTCCCCACTAGATGTCCCTTCACATGCGTGAAGTATAAGAATTTAAGTCGTTCTTTTAGGAGTGGTGTACAGCGATGTCCTGTTGCATCACAGAACATAGCGTCTGTTTGGGTACTGGATTTAACTTTTAAAATAGTATGATTAGGATACACAGTAGACTCATTTTCAAGGGTTTATCATTGTATAACATCCTAATTCTCTGCTACAGGATTCCTTTCACTGTTTGCTTCCCTGTGCTCAGCCCCTTTTCTGATATACACAAACTTCACTGAAACTCACAGTGTGTACTTAGTTTCCGAGTCTTTTGTCTGCAACATCCGCGCTTCATTACTACATTTAGGTTCACATTTGTTGTCTCAGTCTCAGGTTTGGAGCTGTAGACTAATCCTGCAGGACAACAGAATCATCCCTCTAGCCCACTCCTTCAACTTCAAAGTGGATATCGTGTTTCCAAGGACAGAGTGGAAAGCTTTGACTTGGGCGTCCACTACACATTTTTTTCCGTCCTTTCATATTGTCTCCTCATTGGTCCACAGTTTTATTTTCCTGTCCAATGCAATCTGATCTCCCTCTTGTCACTAATATTAGAAAGGGGACAAATATTTGACCAGGTCAGATCTAACCTCTCAGACTGCTAGCTTCCGTTTGAACAAAAGTATCCCGTCTTGAAGGGCTTTTGGACTGTTGTGTAATGCCAGAAAATTACATGGCACTATGTAGTTACATTTTTTGATAGAATGAAAGGCTAAGTGCTTGGTAGGGCACAGAGTGCACTTTATTCTTAACAAATGTTAGCCAGTTCCCTTAAATTTCAAATTCTACTCAGGCATGGAGAATTTTGAAAAATTTATTTTTTTCTTTTTTTGCACAGCTAGAAAATTTTTTTGATATTAACCCTAGTCACCCCAGTTTCAAAGACAGGAATGCCTTGAAAAAAATTTACCTTATTACCGATTTTCTTCACTTTACACATTACATGTCTTATTTCAAGTGAATGGTTATTTATACATTCCTGGCATTTTCAATCAATTTTTAGGCTGAGGCCATTACTGTATGCTAAATGCATTTGACATGAAGGGACCTTCAAATTGAACAGGAAAATATATGATTATGTAATATCATAGTCTATTTAACATTAGTCCAAACATAATAATACTTTTTGCATTATTACCATAACCGAGTTGTGTGCTAACAGAAAATACTGCTAGTTTGAGTTTAAGAGCATAGATGAACCAGCTTCTTCATTTTCAAATTTCCATATACACCAACTTGTTGCATCTAAAATATAGTGGCATTAGAATGAAGTTTACCACACCAATCACAGGTCAATTAATTGTGTCCCTTACCCTTCCATGGAACCCTGAAATCCAGATAACTAGATAGGCGTTTGTGATTGGAATGATAAACTTCCATCAAACTTGCTGCTGAAGAACAGAGCCCAATTAGCTTGGACATGTGGAACTTTGAAGAAGCTGCATGGATCAGACTTGAAGCTCAGGAAACTATTGCTCATTAAGAATTTTTGTTGAAAAAAATATTTAGAAAGATATCTTTTTATATAGTGGGCTCTCAAAATCAGAAGAAAAAATGTCAATAACTCATCTGTGTCCATTTTGTCATTTCAGAAAAGGTCAGCAAGTAGACAGCACTTAAAATAATTACAGAGACTAAGCTTGAAAAGGTGCACAATGAAAAGAAACTGAAGAAATGCTACAAAATACTCTCAATGCCTAGCAGAATTCCAGTACCACTTTGGACAATAAAGCATCTCAATTTCTCTTCTAATGATACATTTCATGACAATTATTACATGTACAAATTGTATGGGTAACCATGTCAAGTGCCTATCCTTGTCACAGACCTATGCATCTAGCCAGTTTTCGTTACTTCCCACCGTCCTGCGAAAAGGCTGGCAACAAGAGAAAATGATTCCCATAACCAAGACACCAGGGGCCCGTTATGCAAAAGAATTTAAACCAGAAAATTGCTCTACACTTTTAGAACAAAATTTCGGTCTACTTCAGTGCAGGATAAACTCAAATTAGTAGTAGTCCTTTTAAATAATAAGGTTTTGACCTGAAACAAGCCACATGTCTTTCCTTTTATGAAAAGGGGCACAATATATCATCTTAATGGACTACCAATGACTTATCTGGATTAAAGTACAGTGTGTCTGAATTTAAATTTTAGACCAATTTTCAGGCTAAAGTACTTTTGTGAAACGGGCTTTAGTCTTGTAAAAATGATATATTGCACCCGTTTAATAACAAGGAAGACACTGCTAATTTTTCAGATCAAAACTTATTTATGTGACTTTTTCTTGAAATCAACCAAATTGTTTGTCTTAAAGTTTAAATCAACTGTTGGATTAAAATTCTTTGGTGAAATAACTCAGATGCCTGAAAGGAAGATCCTAGGACCGAAAAAAAGTAGTGTTTGATTATAAGATAATGTTGCATTAGAAATGTCATTGTGATTACAATTAATAATCTTGTATCTGTTTAAAGATGTCTGGTTGAAGTGTGTGGGATATTGTTGTTATGGCACTGGAACTTTTCTGCAAATGCATGAAGGCTATTATACAGAAAAAATTCTCATACTTTGTTTATCTTGCAAAAGCTTTTTTTAGTTGTACAAGTTAATTTTGCTGGACTAGACTACTTAATGAAATATTAAATTCATTTGTACTTAGTTTCCTCAAATAATTTCATCATTAAAGATAAAAGCTAGCAATCAAAATACATACTGTGGAAAAACAAAATGAATGTTTTGTTTTATTAAAATATTGTTTCATTCATTCATTCATTCGAGTTTTAAGAGAAATTTCGAATTATTTGACAAAAGCAGAAATAAGAAAGTTGTAATAAGAAATGGACAAGGAAGATGTATATTGTAATGTGCAATGATTATCAAATTATTGTAGAAAGGCCAAAGGCCTTATATACAGTGAAAAAAATACATATATTCATTCTCTCTCTCTCTCTCATCCAAAAAACATCAAAGGGGTTGTTGGGTTAGAAGTGAAATGGTTAACCCAGGCCCTGCCCTGTAGCTCCATCCATCCCACCAATGTTCAGAACAAACAGGTACCCTTCTTGCAAAGTTTTCGCAAGTGTCCCCTTTGGAGAACCTTGATAAACCTTTGTTTTCTAACACAGTGACTCTCAAGGGATTATTTAGTGACTTTTTTCGGTTCAGGTACGCAGGTATAACACATCACCAGCTTTGTGACCTACATTTGCAATGCATCCAACATTCTGCAGAGGAAAAAATGATGGTGCTTTGGCAAAGCGGTTTTATAAATAGATTTTCCAGTATTTCCTTAATTTTTTCTAAGTATTGATCTCATTTTAAAAACTAAAACAATCTGCTTGAAGTACATGTATATCTATTGCAATTTCAAAGTGAACTGTATGAATACATTACTATTATAAGTATGTATTATGAAATAAATACATACATGAATACTAAAAATATTTATAATACAGTGACCAACAGCAATCTTTACTAAATGGTGTAAGCCTGTGCATTAAAATATGCATTTTAGATAGGTCAAGTTTGTATAGGGAAATCTGTGAGATTTCTTAAGAATCATTTTTCAATGTTAGAATGTTGATAAGGAATCAAAAAGGTTAGTCGTACAAATAAGTTTGTTCCTTTTAAGATGCTTACATGTATACAAACATTTTGTAGAATTGCTTTTAAAGGTATTTTTTTTTTTTTTTTTTTTTTGTATTTTTACAGATGTGTTAATTAGCAGAACCAGGGTTGATGGAAAGGACGTGTTACACTGCTACAGGGTATTCCAATAAAAAGAAAAAGAAAGAAAAACAATTTCAAATAGACACAACTGTGGAGAATTTTTATAGATTTTTTTTTAATTCGAGTTAAACGTTGATGTCTGTGTAAGTTCCTACATTTCTAATTACTATACGTGGCCGCTCAAAAGCCGAGATTGCCAAACCGTAATCACGACCTCACTTTAATAAATACTTCATACGATATCGTAAATTTATTATCAATAGTGCACCGACTGAAATCCAGTTTTAGCTGCACTGTGCAATTAATACTAAATTTGCCAGAGATACGGGTGCAAAGTTATAGTAAATTCTAGGCCATCTCGGTACTGGCCTGGATTAATGAATGTTTAATGTGATGATTCAAACTAATAATAAAGACTGTTGCGAAATCTCAAACCCGTGATCCCGACCAGATCACGCAAAATAAAATTGTTCACCATGTTACTACATCCTCAATGCTTACATGTATTGTTTTCCCCTAGATACCATGTAGTTCTTGAAGTTGTTCTCCGTGAGTCATATTTTCCAACACAGGAAGTCGATTTGAGCACGCTGCTGCTTTTATACCAAACTATTTTTAGCAACACCGGCTTATTTACATACGGATTGCCTTTCATGGCAAATACCTGAGTAACTGCCAACCAATCAGAGCTTGAGAATCTTTGAAAGACACCGTACATGATTGGTCGTAGAAAATTCTATGCATATTTTTCGTTTGTTAGCTAAGTTCTGAATGGCTGCGATAACTGGCGTCCCAAATACATTTCACATCCATGTTTTGCTGTCAATATAGGCCAGTCATGAGAGCTTCATGACAGTCTATGTTGTAAGAGAGCAGCTTCCTTACTGTAGCTCAGAGACGTAGAAAACTTAACTGCATGATTTCTAGTACGACTTTACACTCTGGACTTTGTTCCTGGCGGATTTGGTGATTCCCCATCCTGGCAAAATGGATGTTCTACCCAGTGGAAATATCTTCCGGGAGTTGCAAGTTGTTCACGATACCGGCTATTTCTCGGCTCAGCCGTCATTGGAAGACCGGTGGCAGCAGGTAAATACAAAATTAACAATTAGCATTTTTAATCTATTCACGTCTTCTGTTTTGAATGGATTATTGCTTGGAATGTGCAACTTGTTTTCGTCTGTCCACTGTCATTTTCATTCATAGTTTTTACGTTCCGCCACCATGAGATACATTATGATACAAAATATATTTGATCAAAGAACCCGGTGTGTGCAAAATATAGCTATGTATCATGACTGAATAAACCATAAATCCCCATTCGCTTATGATGATAAGCATCTTTTATAGGACTGACACATTGTCTTTCTGTTATCAGATTATGTTAATTAATTTGGCACGTATGACTGAGTGCATTAGCATATATTTTTTCACAACACACAACAGGACATTTAATGCTGAATGATGAGCAGTCATTGGTACATGAATTCTTGTTTAATATTAGGCAACAAAGGTGATGCATTTTTTTCTTTTTGATTCGTCATGAATTATCCTCTGTAGAAATCTTATTTTGTATATTTACATTTCATGTTACCAAAGCTTGGATAAAGTTGCTCTTCAAAATGCACGTTGGTATTTTATTGAAATAATATAGGAATCTTTAGGTAAATATCTTAATCAAATAACCTTGGTGACCCAATCAAGTTTAGGAAAGCCTGGTGAAGTCTAATAGCAGGTCGAACCTTCTGATCAAACCATTTAATTGAAAGGCTTGTTGAATGAACAAATATTTGCACTCAGTCAAAAGTGATTTTGTTCAATGGTGAAGCAAAGGTTCACAAGAAGAAAAATACCTATACACAGACAGTGAGAACAGCATAACTACGGATGTGGTATGCAACATATCATGATATATGCATATATAATGACATTAGGGAGACAGTGCCTATCTTTTCACAAAGCTCGCTCCCTCACTTTCCCATGTGTTTCCCACAGTGTGTTGTTTGGTCCTTCATTCATAGTGGTCACAATGCACCTTGTAACACTTACATCTCAGTATTGATCCATGATAGCTTATTTAGTATAGAACTATGCGCCAGAGGGAAAGTATTTCTACTGCTAGGACCTATAGACAGGGTGCCCCATTTTCATGATTGAGTGCACACACAAAAACAGTCCACTTGTCTGAGTGTGAAAAGAAGATGTTTACTAATGCCCTAATATACACAACGTCACGCTGTAAATTTAAAAGACTGTAGTTTGTGGGAAAAAGTTATTATTACTATTTATGTACAGCATTATGTGAGAACTATATCTGGACCTTCTCACAGATTGTGCTTGCATTCCTGTCAGGAAGGTGACACCTGTATTATTTTCTCAAATACCAGTCTTTGGAATGAGTTACGATTAAATGTGCAATGCAGTTAGTCAAAGGAATGGGAAAAAATCTTTCCAGGCACAGTTGAGACTGTTACCTAGTGTTGCCTCAAGTATTGTATGTCTGGGATATTGTATTCTTCCAGCCTGGAATTTTGCATTGTGTCTGTGTCTCTACTCCAGTGGTCACACTGTCATTAATGTAATGCAGACAGCCTTCCTCCATTCACACACACATTGGGAATATGTCAGTTTAAATCCCTATGCTCAGTGTTGCTTAGCAAGCCTGTGTGTGTGAGTCAGCCACTGGTGTAAAACTGCTGGTTGGCTGCCCTCAATAGATCTGGACATCAATGTCAGATCAATAAGTTTTGATAATGTATTTTCACAGTGAGAGGAATGCTTGGATGTGTCTTTGATGTGTATGACTTAGCCAGGAGCCTCTCGATGTATATTATCTGATAGCTGCAGTGCTGTTTAAACGTGTATGAAGGCCGTATTGTCTGTGGAAACAACTCTATAGCCAAGAGGGTTAGGACTTAGATTACTACAGTGATATGAAATGATGAATGAAAGAACCAAAGTAAAGGTTTCAATTCGGTTGCAGGAAGTGTTTGTTAGTACTGCATACACACTCTTTTCATTTTACTCAAAATTTGCTGGTCAGCTTTTATTTGACTTGGACTAGATTGAATACTGCCGTCTGGACAATATAATAGGAATTTGGACATACCTTGTTGATTAAGAAATGATAATGAAATAAATGGCAGGAGCAAAGTTCTTAATACAGTGACAAGTCACGGATAAGGTTGTATTTAACCCATTGTCAGATGCTCTCCAAGTTTATCTGTCTTAGTGAGTCATATAATGGAAAGAATGGGGGATAGTTTAGTGCCTTTATTTCATTTGCTAGGTACAAATAATTAGGTTAAGTTGCTGTACATATTTTCTCTGAAATTAAGGGCTTATTTTGATCATTTTCACGTATTTGATGAAATGGAGTTAACCTAATGAGTGTTTTGCACTGAAAACTTGCCAACTCATTTGATGACTGCCTATAAAAAGTGCCCATTATCTGAATTACCTGTGTGCCGTGTATGTGCTCATTAATAATATTCTAACCAGCTTCCATTTTCAAAAGTCTGCCACATTGGTATTCTAGTAATTGTGTCGCTATTACCTGATACGCTATTGTACACAAGGAAATACTCTATTGTATATACTGGTATATGATACGTGAAATTCTCCGTTGTATACACTGGAGTGGTATCTGATATGTTGGAGACCTGGACAGGCAAGCCTCCTCAATTTATGAGGTGAAATATAAACTGACATTTCAAGAAACATCAAATGAATTCTCCCCCATCTTCTTGGTTCAGATATAAAAGAAGAGACATTAGAATCTGGGGCATGTGTGTGTGGTTAACATTCCATTTCATCCTTGAGTATACAACAAGAAACAAATCATGCTTTTGTGGGCCTGGACATTTCTTACTTGTCAGATTGCATGGTCACTAATATTTAAGTGTTCTTGTCTGTATATAGGACTAGTGACAACCATTTTTTTTTTTTTTTTTTTTTTTTGAGAGGGGGGGGGGATAGCACACAGAACAGTCTAAAGCTAATGTGTTGGTACTGAGAGAATCCAGCTTTCTAGGCATCAGCCAGTCTTGTCTGGTAATTGCTCCATCTGGATATTTAATGGAGGCCACCCATAGCCCAAGGTGGTCAATACCAGCACATCATGGCTTACTGCATTTCATCACCATGTTTTATATGTAAGTGCATTAATATCTACCTGCCATCAACACATGCAAGGGCAATTTCACTCCTCATTAGGATCTGTGGCTACTGATGCTTATGCTACAGTGATATCATGTTTAGTAATTTGCAGACTGTGTATGATTCATCAGGTATTATTTTTTTATTTTCCCCATAATGCTGAAAGAGTTGTTGATAATAGTGTTGTCTGTTTCTTTCCTTTCCCAAGAAATCCAAAGACTGTACAGACTTAGTCATAATGTGTCAGCTGCATGGAAGGTTATAATTTGTGACAAACATTTGTCAATAAGTCAATAATGTTCTACTGTGGAGACCCTTGCAATCTAATGCCATAGAAACCAACATTTCACAAATACAGACATTGCTTAACACTTGCACTTGAGTGGCTTTGCGAAGCCTTCATGAACATAATATCCAATTCAGTGACTAATACCACATCCAAGGTTGAAATTAAGTAAGGAGTATCAAGTATAAAAGAATGTTTTTGGACAGAACCTTAAACTTGTATTGTTCAGTGTATGTAGAGAATTATCAGCAGATATGTCCTGATCACAAGAGCCTAGAAGGTTGAAATTTAACCACTCAGCCAGCCAGCGGTTGCACTGGTTGTAGTCCAAGGTCAGATGGGGATGTTTGGAACTGATGACTGTACATCAGAGTTCTGTTGTCTAATGGGACCTGTCTGATGAGAACACAGCATCTCTTGCTCATGCTGTCAAACCGTGTCCTGTGTCCCTCTGTTGGTGACCCATTCAGGCACTGTTTGAGTGGATTCAAACAGCAGTTAATCAGTTATAACTCAATATTGAGCACAGTCAGGGAGGAGAGATTTTCCCACCCTGCTGTTTAAACAGACAACAGCGTAGATGCTAGTCCTTTCTGGAATGTGAAGTTGTTTGGTAAATAGAAGTCTGGGGAGCAGTTATCTAGTCAATTTTGAAATAAAATATTTACTGCTATTTTAATACATAATGAATGAGCAACCTGCTCTGTGGTGCTCAAATACCTTCACTGTTATTGTATTCTGATGTGGTTAAGGCTTTGTATTTACTCAAGCAGTGCATAAGGCATTCCTAGATTCAGCTTTATGGTTAAGTTTTTTTTATAGTTCCAGCTACAGTAAGTGGATGCCTGGGGAATAGGGGGCTGTGATTAAAGCATGTCTCTGGAAGTTGAAATTAAACAGTTTGTTCAATTAAAGCTGCTGAGCAGGGACTCTCTTCTGTTTTGTTTCATTTAATCTTATGGTAATTATTTAATTTTTTCAGTGGGGCAAAATTTTACAGATAAAGTATTTTCAAGCCATAATTTCTTAAATTTAATCTTGGTTATAGAATTATGTATCTGAAAGTCTGACAATTTTTACCCACTGAAAAGATTGTTTAATTACCATATTAATTATAGTGTTTACAATGCTATATTTTAAAGTACTGGGCAATGCAGTGCTCTTCTGTTGTGTAGATGACTGTAGTACAAGGGCTACATGTAAACATACCACAATTCAGCTGTAAAATCTGGAAACTCACCTGTGCCCTGGTGCTCATTTCACATCAGGTGAGGGCACTTCCCTGTAAGTGATTTAATCGGGTGAAATGTAAACCAAATTCTATTAAAGATGAATGTTGGCTTTCAAGGAGTATTTACCTTTGCCTTGAGGCATCCATACAGTACTTCCATTGAAGGAAGAGCAATTAGTATAGGATCTATTTAATACTGGTGATTGGTATCAGATAAAGGTGTTTTTTCCCTTTTGCCAGTTTGATAAATGGTATCTGAAATCACAGATTGGTAGTTCACAGGTATAGCTGTGAGTTTAGGGAAGTTAAATCTTGACGTAATTACAAAATGTATTTGATAAAGCAATTCTGGGAATCGGCTTAATAATGGAGATCTCTTGCATTGATTGTAGTATCAATGCAACATGAGTTTCTGTTCTCCAGGGTATAATTATACGCAGCTAACTTTTGAATAAAAGATGTTTTGTGGAGCTGGGTTTAATCTGCCAGGCGTTTACTACAGTACTATGTTAGTGTTGATGTTGTTGAATTCTTCTAGTTGTGGATGCTGGCTGTTGCTTTCCTTGAGTGGACAGTGATAGAGGTCATTTTCCATTAGTGCCCCCTCCCCTTCTCCACAAGTGGACAGTGCTGGTAGACAGTTTCCCATCAATGCTGTATGACATTTTTCAAGTGGGCAGCTTGAATCCAGGGTTCACACAGTAGTAATACAAATCTGAGTTTGGTCAAGTGTTTATAAACCATAGGATTGGTATGTACTCAAGGTTTTATCAAGCATTGGTGGAATTCCTTTAACATTGTCTTACATGGTATGCATTACAGATCAGTGCATTTAATGGAGAACAACCAATTGTTTTTCAAGCCCCTAGAAAAATGGATTATCTGTGAAGCACTGTCCTATTTTACTTTCTACAATACTTTTAACTACTTCTAGCTTCTTATTTTTTATTGATTAGGCTCTTCTTTATTAAAATTGATAAGGAGCTGCGAAACCATGCATGTCTTTGTGAAAGGACAAGGCAGTCCTTTGATGTAAACCATATTCTGTGATGAGACTTCTATTATATTCTTAGCCCAAGTAATCAGGAACAATTTGAACACTTTTACTTGGTGTGCACTGACTGTATCTCCGATCCCCTGCTCAAAAGGAAGAAATGGTGTAATCTGAAATGACATCTTATTTACACAGTGAAAGGAACTGCTTTATTTAAGAATGCAGATTTTAACAACAGATCTGTGTGCAGATAACCTTAGCTTCTGGAATATTTTGACCTTTTTATTGCATTTATGGTGCTTTTTATGTGCAGGAAACAGCAGTGAGTGATCTTTTGTTTGCCTTCATAAACAGCACGGTAATATTTATTACCACCTTATACTATATACGGAATTGATAGAATTATACATTATCTTTTTATGTAGTAGAAAGACAAACAAACATTGATTTTTAAATGAGAAGCTCTCTGTAGATAAGCGATAAGCACCAGTTTTAATAATGTATGCCCAATATGAAAAAATATTCATGTTAATGTGCTCTAGAATTGAGACTCCCCCAGCAAGAAATTCATACTTCTTTAGGACACCTACTCTGTTCATTGATGCACCATTGGTACTTATAAAGGATGGATGTAGCTTATAACATACAAATGTGGATCTGTGCATAAGCTGTCACATGTGGTCAAATTTTGACATTCCTTTGGTGATGACCTTTAGATATGCCACCCCAGAACATGAAAAGTGATGCTGCACTGTGACTTGTGTCATTACCGGCTTGGTTTTGTCTCTAGCTAGAAAATAGACACAGGATGTGGCATAAAAGCTTCATGGGCACACATTGAACTGTAACATATTTGAGCTTGTTCTGATTAGAAAGGGCATATTTCATGTTGAGCGATCTTTTCATGCTGTCTAATCTCTTGGAACTTCTTGTAAGGCTTCTTTTTGCTGTATGACAAACTGCCGGGATGATTGCCATTTTCGTTTCATTCTGATTTGCTTCAAATGAAATGAATAGGTGTTTGCCCAGACCCACTGTGTGGCTTTTGTCAACTTTTGTGTCACAAATATGCCAATTATGATAGGGCATGTAAACATTCTGTTATGCTTTTTTATGGTGCCCAGTTTACACTAAGGCCCGAATTCCATTGATAACTCAATGGGAAAATCAATACTTCTAAATAGTTTACTTTGTGGGCTAGGCAGTTGGGGGGTAGATATGTTTAAACAACATAAGATATAGAGAAGGAAAAAATTGACAAGCATATTGACACATTAGGCATTCATAGAATGTAAAATATAATGTGTGTGTGTAAACTAAATGTAGATATTTTATTTACTCTTTTATTACTATGAATAATAAATTGAATTGAATGGGATGATATATTTTGGCTTTTTTACTGAAAACAATTAAATTCTTCAAAAAATATTTCAAAAGTCTTGATAGTAATGAGATAGAAAGATGTTGAGAAGCCAGATGAGTTTCTCTTGAGAGCTAGGTAAAGCTATAACTTCCTGTGGGGAGCCTTGACTGGGAAGGTATGGTAAGATGAGGAGGGTTGAGATGCACTCTTTGGAATGCTTCCAGAGGCCCCTATGAAGTATTGCAAGTTTTTTATCCAGCATGGGGCCTTCTCTGATCTCTGGTTGCCAGTCTAGACATATGGGTTATCTTGGGTGCTCCCTGAGGAGAATGCGTAGATAATAATAGCCAGTATCTTTAGTGGATTTCCAGTGCTTAAAAAAATTGCACAGTTATGTATGTGACTCCTTGGTGGAAAGCTTTTGTAATTGATGACTTGAATGCATAATAATATTGAGAAAAATACCAAAGTAAAGCAGACTGATATAGCTCAGTGTCCTTTGAAACGGTAATTCATCCTTCATCTCGTCTTCTATGAATGCTTATTAGAGCCCATTTATGTTATCTGTCTGTCCACGGAGGTCTATTTTGATTCCATGCAGGAAAATGTTTGTATAGGAAAGCTTTTTCATAGTCACACTTATGATTTTTTTTGCAACCTCTGGGATTATATTACCTGCCAGTATAAAACAGCATGGCATATTATGTCTGTGGGTAAGAATAATAACTTTGTATGGGAAAATGGGTCTTTTGGGAAAATCTAAGCAAGCATATCAAAGATACATCTCTTTACATATTTTGATCCTCACCCGCTCTCTTCCTTTATGATGAAACCCATTTTTTCTTTATAATTCCTAAAATGTAAAATTTGACATATAGCCTCTTACCACATGCAAGCATGCAGCTCTCTTATCTGTGCTTGCTAATCTTGACACCCTTGAGGAATGTGTGTATCTTTTTTCATCTGCATGACTCCACTTTATCCTGAGGATCTTTTTATTAAAAAATATTTCTGGTGACTCATCATGCAGATAATGCAATATGATGATACCTGATCTAGTTGGTTCATTGGCTACAATGTTTGGCTTTGCTTCACTGTGAGGTATCCTGTTTTGCAGGTCCCCAGAATCCTGAATAGGAAAGCTCATTCACTCATGAGTTGATAGGTTTTGTCAACTAAGGTATCTTGGGTATTAATTTCATAATGGCACAATGGATTTGAATTTCTCAGCGATGCAAATATTATGGATGATGTCAGTGTCATTTTCCAAGTTTGAGCAGTGGTGGAGATTAAAATACTTTTCCAGTTCACTTTAAGTGTTGATACACTTTTAAAACCTTCTGCAAAACATTTTTTCATTCTTGCAAATTCCATTTATTGACCTCGCACAGAGTACATAAATATCATTTTTCATGGTTTGCAGGAAACGAAGACTTCATGCCCTGTTTATATATAAATATCACCTCTTAGTATAAGGATCACTGATTTTCTTGATCAGATTTTAAAGATTTTATTTGCTGTGCTGGTTTTGTTTGTTAAGTAATAAGAGAACATATTGGTGGTACTCTTGGCAAACAGCACTCTTACTTTCTTCCCACAAAAAATGAGATGGCAATTTACATTTCTGCTGCCTTAGCATCATCTTGCATAAGAAGCAAGGACAATATGTAACATACCCAAGCAATGTTTGCTTGCCTTTCTTCCACTGAGTACCAAGGAGAATGGTAAACCTCCCATTTTGGAAGGCAGCTTTATTTGCCTTCATCTCTGATTCACTCCATGCTCAGTATTCAAGTGGTGTAATAATGTATTCAGCAGAGAATGGAAGTCAAGCTGGTTACCCAACTATGTGGACATTCTTGTTTGAAATGTTAGCCAGGCTTTTGTGTATTGAGATCATTGGACCCTTCCTTCATAGTCTTTTATTTATTGCCCTTCCTTAACTTAGAAAAGAATTCTTGTTTTCCTTCCCACAGACATAGTCTCGGCCACAGTCAATTTGTGGAAAAAAGTCCCTTGATCTTTGACAATTGTTTATTTCAACTAGGAAGGGGTCATAGCACACTGTCCTATGACAAGAATATTTTCCCATTCATTCCATACTGTAATTTTAGTACAGTAAATTCAGGTAATCACAGGTTTGGGGAATGTATAATGGAGCACTGATCCATGTCAATGTAGAAGGGTCTAGTTGAGGGATGCCAAAGAAGGAAGATCTCCATAAATCATTATTTTTCTTTTGTATGGCTGCTCAATGACTTTTGATGGTTTTTTAAACGCAGTAATCATTCTCATCATGCTGTAGCATTTTATAATTAAATCCACTCTGCCTAAAAAGTAATATATCCAAATATATCCTGCACACATCCAACATATCAAAAGTGTTTAGTTGCGACATTGTACATTATTTACTTATAAATGAAATATTGGTTGCATTCAAAAGCATGTATCCTTTGACCTATTTAATGTTCCATTCAGTTGCCTGTCCTGCAGTTTTCACTAACATTCTAATGCTTCTTTTATTTTGTCTTCTTCAGAACTGCTTGGAGATGGAAAGGTATCTGAAGAATGAACCAAGACTGACATCCTACAAAAAATTAGACACAGATTTAGATATTCCTTGGAACAAATTCACTCTACCGGAGGAAACCAGGGATGATGATCCTCCGGAGGAAAAGCTCAAAGGCCTAGCTCACTTGAACATTGAGGACAAAGCTCCAGACTCTGTTAGTCTTAGTAGTTTTTGCTCTGCTTCCAGTGGAGTTTCATGGGACAGTAATATTAGTGACCCTGCATCACCAGTATCGCCACCAATAAAACCATCACATGATCCTTTTGCATTGAGACTAGTGGCACAGCCTAGCAGAACTGTGTACTCACCACCAGCTTCTCCAGAGAGACAAGCACCATCACACGCACTTATTATGCCTGTTCCCAGAAGTCGTAGTGCTAGCCAATCAAAATCTCCGGCCAAACGGGTAGATGCAAGCCCAGATTCCAAGCGGAGGATACACAAGTGTCCATATAATGGGTGCAAGAAAGTCTATACAAAGAGTTCCCATCTCAAAGCTCACCTTAGAACTCATACAGGTAGGTTGAAAAACCAATAATACATTTTGGAAAGATGTCACAACCCTTTCAAATAGATTTTCATTTATGAAAAGGTAAGTAAAGTAGGAGTATGTTTGTGTTTGGAATTGAATAAATATTTTTGACACCATCTAAAATTGAAGAAGAGGGAATTAAATGGCTATTACTTGTCTCAGCCCCCCCCCCCCCCCTCCCCAACACACACACACACACACTTACAGACTTCATTTCATTTGCTCTGCTGGTTTGCAGATTCATATTAAATCAAAAAATGAGAGATGGAATGATGTTTTGTATAGAGGTATGTTGGAGACACGACAGAGTACTGTGCACACAGGTGGTGGCACTGCTGAGCAGACATTAGAGACCATTCATCATCACAGAGGTGTGTTCACATACACACACTAGGAACAGCTTGTCACAGCATTCTTTCACACAAAACACACTTCTCACTGCTTGTCAGTCAGGGCACAGTTGCTGTATTGTTTTCATCACTTGATCACGCAGTGACTGACATGTCTTTTCTAGCTGAGCTTTTCTTCCATGGCTCCAGGTAGAAATTATTGATTTGAAAAGACTGATGACAACATACAGAAAGAACACCTGCAATTTCACAGGCGGTAACCCATTAAACATGCAATCTTAATAACAGTTAATCTGCCTAGCAATGTTGGGAATGTCTTTTTAAGCCTTAAACGACAATTTGGTCACAAAATTAGTATTCAAAGTAAACCATATTAGCCTATTTTTCTTCTCTCCTCACTGTCCACTTAGAAAGAGATCAAGTCAATTGTACACAGAATCTAACCCAATAATGGAGGAATTTCCCCCTGCCAAATCAGCCATTTGCTGCACTGATTTTAATGGGATGTTTCTACAAGACATTACCTGCTGCAAGGGAGTAGAAATGAGGGAATTTGGTTTGATAGGCCCCAATGATTAGACACAAACAGGGAGGACAGTCAATGCCTTTTAAACATCACCACCACCCTCCCTTTTTATTAGTCCACCCATGTGATTTATGATTTGTAAAGAGTTAAGTGATGTACCAATTCCTATTAAGATAATACATTAACATGGATATTACTGGACAGACAGTATTCAACATGTTTGCCAACCCAGCCAGTGGCACAAATGGGCACATTTTGATGTACCAGGCACACTACCCATTGGATTATACTTTCAGTCATTATTGATTGTGAATGCCTTATTTTAAATTGGATACCCTGGATAATTATGACAGCTTAAACTGATAAATTTAAGTGAGGGAAATTATAGTATTAAACCACACTTGCTCATTTCAGAGAGAGAGAGAGAGAGAGAGAGAGAGAGAGAGAGAGAGAGAGAGAGAGAGAGAGAGAGAGAGATGATGTGCTGAATTAGGTCAGATGTTGCCAGAGGGGAAGGATGTAGATGACCATCGTCTATTTTACTCATCACACTCGACATGTTCCTAAAATATATCTCATTTTGGCAGTATTATGGTATAACAGTTGAGTTGTGTGATAAAAGTTTGTGGTCTCCCACTAACAATATAAATTAATTGTAATAACACGAGATGGTCACCAATTGTCATTACACTTTTGTTACAAATAGGTGATAAGTATAATCAGGGAATTATAATTCCCTGGTATGATATAGCTATGTCAGTCATTTGATGCAAAACATTTTTGGCACACTTATTTATTGAAATTAGAATAAAATGTATGTTAAAGTGACGTATAAAGTGTCAGTTTCTACACCATGGCCATATAGGAACTACAGGAACTTCTAGTCTAATTATGTAACTGACTGACTCATCAGATGCTGATTTTATGAAATATTGAGAACTGCATGAGACTTGATAATGATGTGTATCGTGCTATGGCTCAATGGGGTTACCTGAATTTATCTTCAGGTGATGATGGATTGGAAGACTAAAGCACAGTGCAATGCAGGCATCCTGGATTTCAGTGCATTAAATATGCATCTTTGTATATGCCCTTTCGGTATTTTAGCAAAAATGTTTTGTCTCTTTATTACAAGAAGCCAGTGTGTGTGTGTGCAATAAAACAGTGGGGTCCATCTATACCCCTTCCACTGCTCAATCTGCTAATCCATCAACTCTGAGGAATACAGTGAAATGAAGTTCGGAATAAAGCTGATCTTTTCGCATGTAGGAACTTGGGCCGATGCTGAAGGAAAGGGAAGATGTAGGGCTTGTAGGAAGTCCAAGGGGGAAGACGAGTAAACATCCCTCACAATAACATGTCTGGCGGTGATTGGTTTTAAGCACCTCCCGATGATATCATACTTTTTTGGCTGTGAAGGCAGGTGCAGACGTTTACGCATCTGCCAGTGTCTTAATAGTACATGAGAGATAAGATGTCAGTAAGATGGAACGAGGGGAGCTGTTCTATGTGCTGAAATTTAGTATTTCTCCAGGAATTGCTTTTGAAACATAAGTCATGATTACTAGAAGCAAAGATTGCAGCATCTTTAATGAGTAGTGTTGCAGAAGACATTTTAGGTGCTAATGTGACTGCTTTCTACCTCATAAACATATCAAATACTGTTTAGTTTACCTGTGCTATTTTGTTCTGTTGACTGTTTATTTAAAGGTGTTTGCTTGAGCACATGCACTCGTGTAATAACGTTCATCTCTCCATCATTTCAAGTCTGAACTGGGAGAGAAAAAACAACAAGAAAATTCAATGGCAGTTTACTATGGAAGGTGGGAAGGGTCTGCTTTGACACTAGCAAGCACAGTATTAGTTTCGGTGAAATGTAAAGTTCTGGAGGAATGCTGTAATAGAAACAAATATCAGATAAAGTGTTCACCCATACAGAAAACTCACACTCCTGCCTTTTCAGTCCTTTCTTGCCCTGACAAAGCTGACCAAGAGACATTTTGACATTTCATGTGTGAGATCAATTGTGATGAACAACCTGAGCATGAAGCAAACTGGTTTATTTTTTTACTCTCAAGCACCTTGGGTGGAGCAGGTACTCTTTTCTGTACATTGTATATAACTTCCTGCACTCATTACACTTGAAGCCTTCATTATGGTGGATACAAGTACTTCATAATTTATTCATCCCAGTTCGCTGATGTAAACAAAGCTGTGGTAGCTAGGTCTTGACTATTGATCATACGTACAAAGCTCATATTAGAATTCCCATGCAAGATATTATGTCATTTACTATAATTATAATTCTTTAGAGTGGACCATAATTAATCTTTTTTAATACCACTCCTAGGTTTTACCTCATTTCATAATTACCAAATTTACCAAAAGAAACATGCTATATCTTTGAACACGTTTTCATTCTCCACCAGCAAAAAAGATATCTAAGATGAACCTTATTATTGACTTAACTTCTTTTAAGTTCATACGTGCCAGTAGTGAACAGACCCATGTATAATTATTTTGTTTTCCAAAAATCTTGTTTTGCTTCTAGTTTGGTGACTGGGAGGAAACATAAAGCATCCCACATTGTCTCTTATGCCTGTGGTGACAGGCAGGGTGGAGGCCAAGGTGCTGATTAGTTCTAGAGGTATTCTTGTGCCCATTGATAATATCAGGTGTAGGAGTGTCGACCTGACCTGTAGCAAAGGCGCAAGGTTGCGTGAAAGAATGCAGGGTGTAGAGACGCTGAAAGTAACCATTTTATTACTCACTGACAAATGCCAACACTGGTTTTATTGTGATATGTTTGACAAAGGGTTTGGGTTGCGATAATTTTAAAATTTGACCTCTTTAATGCCTCTTGTCTATTGTTTGTAGTTTATTTTGAAATAAACAGTCTGTCACATTGGTCCGTCAGCCCAAGAAGATACATTTTGAATATATGTAATGTAGGATTTATAAACCCAAATATTTGACTGCCACCCTACAGTTTTTTAGTCTCTCTAAATAACCCAAGGCCAAGGTCAAACAGTAACCCCAATGTTACCCATCAGCAAGCATCTTGACTGGGGCAATGTTTTTTTTTTCTTGGAATTTGTGACATTTGTTGACCTTAAAATGCTTCTGCTTTAAGTAAATGGAGAAAACAGAGGTCAGGATATTCCTGTAAATGCCCCCCTTAGGAAACCCCAGACTTGTATTATGTCAGCTTTCCTGTTTAGACTTGGAATGTGGAAAAATATATACATGTATAAGTAAAGAAATGTTGACTCTAGATTGGTATTATAAAAATTATTAAAAATATTAGTTATGGTGATAATTGTTTATAAAGCTAGCTTATGTTACTGGCATGCCTTAGAACTATACTAATATGAGGTCTTGCCTAATGGACATAAAAAATGTCTATAACTTAAGGCTGTATGGAGCACAGATCCTTCAGTCTGGATATCTGATTTGTGGGATGCAAAGCTTTTAGAGAATTTTCCCAGGCAGTCAAGCCAGAGTCGGGGGAGCTGTCAAAAAACATTTCCTCTAAGTGGAACTGTTTCTGATTTCTACAACTCTTTGAACTGCCTGCAGAATCACTACCAAATGATCACAGCAGTTTTATTGCCAGATTTTGAAAAAGATGATCTTTGTTGTTTCCGTATTCTTTCTTTTGATTGTGCAGACATGCATGGAGAGAAGCAGGGTCCCTAAATTGATGGGGGTGAGGGAAATCTTATATGTCTGGGAATAGAAATGAGCCTGATGAGTCACCGCTTCTGCATTTGGTAACATTGTAAACAACTATACAAATAAATAGAAGTTTTTGGATAGATGAGAATACCATGCTTTTTTCCCTCCAATCTATTTTTTTGCACTCTGCCTGCTGTACCAAATCAGGTTACTTGAGATAGGGAAGATTGAGATGAAAAAAGATATAACTAATATAAGGAGGGAAATAGGATAGTGAAGGTTCTCAATGAATAACTTGTTTGGTAATCAGTGGTAAGAAATATGTGAGCATTTCGTGATTGATGTTGTTAGTGCCCTCAGTTACAATTTGTGGAATAATATTCTTAGGTTGAACATATTCATGTATTTCATTAGTTGAAATGGCAGAAGGTTGTCTTGTAAGGGCAATATTTCATGTCTGCTCCACATTTAACTGGAGGGACCTGTATAATGGGATTTGGAACATTTCCTCCCGAATGGCAGTTGTGTCCATATTATGTATTGATTTATGATGCATTCCTATTGTTTTAATTATTGAATGATAAAATAATGAATTCTCCCAGGGCTTGTCTTGTGTATCTGTAATCCATTAAAAGTGCCATTGTATGGTCCATGCTGGGTTAAGTGCTTGCTTAATGTTTTTTGAAACACCTTCATATGCATTCAGCTTCACCTTTTTCATATGTCAGTGGCAATGCATTAGATAGCGTTTGCAGTTATTGGTTATGCAGTTTTAGGTTGAATGGCCCACTGTCATGATAAGAAACATTTATTTCTGTAACAATTTTGGTTTTCAGTGTCAGTAAAACAGCGTTAAATTTGGCATTGACCCTAGATTACATTTTTTCATCAGCTGGTCTGTATATAGTGGCTAGGTTTAATGACACAATAACATTTTTGTGGAAAAAGACCCCTGACCTTATACTCCATTAATAGCTTTTCTGAAATGTGTGAACTAATGTTGTTTAAACCCATTGAAGAAACAGCCCACATAAAGATATGTAAGTGTTAGGTTTGATGGAAATCCTACAGTAAAACCAGCCCAGTAAGAAACCTGCAAAGAATTTGGAATTGGGTTGAACAGAGAAGCTTCAGTGTCCAGTATGATTAATATCACTGGAGTTTTGTTTCCAGTGCAAGGCATACAGGATGATCTGATCTGGGTGAAAAAAGGGGGTGTTTTTAAACACAATGTATACTCAATAGTCTGGTTGATGGCTATATACAGGCAGACAAGAGTGATGGTGTTGGTGTCAGACACCTTATTTTTTACCTCAAACTATGACATTCATACTTGTTGTCACCCCCTTATATGACACCTGAGGCCCCTTATTTTTTTAACCTAACCTGTGAGATATCTCGGTTGCTTTGAGTTACTTGTATGATTCATGACATCTCAAACCTGATGACATGACACGAATAGACAAGTCATTTTACACTTCAGTAAGAAAAATTTCCTCTAGGTTGAATATTTTATATAATGTCTGACTTCAATGATCATGGCATTTAAGAATTCCAGTTTAATGTAAGGCTGCCTGTATTATGTTTGAGGCACTATTGTGTGATAAAAAGAATTGAAGCTTAGGGCTTTCAAACTCAATTACCCTCAAGTTTTTATTGAAATGTTCTGGCCTGGTTTGAACTAAGAGCAAAGAGGCAGTTGCGAACCACTGCAAACTCTACCCTATATTTGTTTATTGAAGACACACAAGGCTGTGCCAAAGTAGAGCTTGGTGGAATTATCGGACATGATAATTATGGAAGATGACATTGGACAATTGGAGAGCAAACATAAGATATTCACCATCTTTGAGACTATATGTAATTGGATTGCACCTGTCTGCCCTTGATGCACATCTGTTATGTTGATTATTGACTGAGTCTCTGATTTACAGTTTTTCTCACCTGTCTGGTTCATGTTTCAGATGGTATTGGCATACTAGGACGCTGAGCTCAAGTGCCTGGTTATGCTTAAAATGCACCATCTTGATGTCTAGTCAGACTCATGCAGCTTTTTCTGGGAAACAATGATTTCCAGATAATGTGATATTGAGTCAACACTGACATGCAAACATACAATCACTTAAATGCAAGCCCGGGCCATCCCTTTTTTCAGTCAATAATAACTTTTAGTGAATGAACCAATGTCAATTAAAAACAATTTCATTTTAATTAGAAATATTTTTTCTTTTTTTCTAGGCGAAAAACCATACAAGTGTACGTGGGAAGGATGTGAGTGGCGGTTTGCCAGATCTGACGAGCTCACACGTCACTATCGCAAGCACACGGGAGCAAAACCATTCCATTGTAAATATTGTGATCGCAGTTTCTCGAGATCAGATCATCTCGCGCTGCACATGAAACGCCATCCTCCTCCACAATCTGCTGCCTCATAACAACCTAGGTGCCTCGGCAGCTCAAGACTGCATAAGGAGCAGGAACATCTACATGCATGCACGCTCATGCAAGCAGATCCAAGTGCCACTGTTGACAAAACGCATAATGGTGGCCAAAGCGTCACTGCAAGAAGACCAATCTCTAATTTTCACAATTTATCAACTGTGGACTACCTCACGTCTTTCATATAATCAGCATCATGCAAATAAAGTGAGGAAAAGACCAAAAGGATCAAGAGAACAATTTTTAGGCATCAGAGATGCTTTGTTGTATATACAATTGGCGTTGCATCACTGATGGGTAAGACTTATTGATCAATGGACCTTAGTGATGAAAATGTTTCAATGGCAGCACTTAAAATGATTTTCACCCATTTATAATTGGGGATATTGTGACAACATTCAGTGTCCCTTCCATGTGGGCTTATTATGAATTTATACTTAAATGTGTAAAGGATTATATCCACAGACCACTGAGGCGTCTTGTTGATGTAAGCACAAGATCTTGATTATTGTATACATACAAGATCTGATGTATTGTTAATGTTAAATGCTATGACCATGGTATATAGTCTAATATATATACATAAATATACACATACATATACACACACGTATACACATTTATATACATGACTGTCATCTCTGCTTGTCATTTTATTATTATTATTATTATTATTATTATTAAGTTGCTCATATATGTTGACTGTCTGTTGTTCATATTACTTGTTATTTGGTCTAATTCTTGTTTCAATGGAATTCTTGAGTGTCATGGAGTATGGTGGATCCCCAGAGACACAGTTGCACACTTACAAAATTTGAATAGTCATATTTTGACTGAGTCCTTTATGTGCCTTAATTGTATGGTGGGGATTGTTAAGGCAGCCATTTGGAAGAAATTAACTGGATTTTTGCAATAGGAACAAGTCCCAGGGAACCTCAAGAGGCTGCTGCAGATTGATTTCAGAATTGCTCTGTGTGCACTGTAGTCTGTACCGTCTCTAAATGCCTAGCTACAATACATATTGGAGCGAACAATTTGTTGCATGAAGATAGCTGCTGTTTTGCTAGCTGTTGGCAATGTGGTGATATTCCATTACTTATAAATCAGTTTGCAGAAAAAAAGTTTTCTTTCCACCTCTAAGCTGAGGCTGTTCATGTTAATGAGCAGGCTGTTGGTTGGGAGGGATAGGAAAAGCACCAGCTGACTATGTCTTTATGTCTCAGTTGTAGTTGAGTTGCTGTACTGGATACACTTGCATAGTAGTCTGAGCACATAGGAACACAGCTGAGGCCTGGTTAACTTACTTATACCCCGTTCACATTACGCTCAGTTATCCGGATAAATTGCGAATTAGGTCACAATTCGAATAAATGCAGTAGTGTGAACGCAAGAGGATTTTTGTAATGCGCATTTTCAAAATCCTGCAAGCGAGGTGGATTTCTAAGCGCGATCCGGATAACTTACCGGAATCGACACCTGTACAGATCTAACTGCACATGCGTGCAGATAAGTGCGGGTATCTATGAACGCTTGTTTATTACTTTAGCGATTGCACCAAACGTATTTGGAGGTCGCCACTCACTACAACATGAGGAAACAAACTTATTTTGCCATCTTATACTTCTCAAGAATGCTGGAATGTCTTTAGAGTTGCATTTGTCGTCACAAATTGTTGTTGGTATTTTAAGATTTTCTGTGCGGCGCATGCGCGAGTGTTCAAAACAGGAAGTTAAACCTGAAATTTTCAACGTGGGATTCGGATTCGCTTAGCGTGTGTGAACGCAATACCGAATCGGATTCCTAACGAAAAATTCGGATTATAGAAATGCGCATTTTTGCAACTGTAGTGTGAATGGGGTATTAGTAGCATGTCAGCATTCTAGCTTGGCCAATGTTTTATGCAATGAACATGGGGGCAGCAGGCAGATGTACACACCATACTGCAGACATCCTAGACAATTTTGTTGAACATTTTGTTATAAATGCAGCATGTTGCTTGTTTCATTATCATCTGTCACTTATATTCCTGTGGCATGTCATTTTTTGTACTGTCCATCCAATATATATGTATAAGAAATGGACATATGCATGATTAATTTTCCGATCTCTTGGGAAAACATTCAGATATTTTCGCATTTTCATCATGGTTTTGTGCCATTATTTCCATGTTCTGTATGTATTCTTGTCATCAGAAGTCAATGTTGTGTACATAAAGGCATTTATTTTTCTAATCTTTACAAACATCATTACACCAGTTTGAGAGAACAAAATTATGCATTGTTGTATAGATATGGCCCTTTATTCATAAGTTGATGCAGCCAATACCAAGGTGCAATTCAGTCTTGAAACTAGTAGAATTAAGTCTAGATTTGTAGGTGTAGCAAGTTTTTTTTTTTTTTTGCTTTGTAATTTGATTAACCCAGTTTCCTTTTGCATATTGGTTGTGAACAGAAGTGCATTATTTAAGTGCAGTTGATCTTTCTAAATTTTTATACATCCTAATAAGTTCATCATGATTTTCCAATTGTATTCGCATATCGTACATTTATATCTTAGAAATTTAGAACAGAAACAATATCCTAGCCCAACAGCATATGCCAATTGGAACCATACAAAAAGATGAAACATCATGATTGTGTTCATCTAGCACATGCACCAATGAGTTTCTTAAGAGGAGTAGAGTGAGAAGACAAGTAGCCAACTCATTTGATGACTGAAACAAGTATTGATACCGATGCATTTAGCATCTGGTGAGAGCAAGTCGTTTGAAAAAAGCTGTGAGTGCATGCATGCAAACATGCATGTGTGAGAAAGAAAGGAAAAGAAGTTCTATTCATGCGCCTTTGCTGTGTGATGTTCACCGCCATAATTTTCCTACAAGTGGATAATGGTTGCTGATAAGGGGGCATCACCACCAGGGGTTGTATGTCATGGCTAGTAAACGTGCATTTAAATGTATTTCGGAAGCAATATGTTGGGGATTCTAAACCAATTTGCGGGACAAAATACCTGTACAGAGTTTGATCTGGAGTGTTCTAGATCTTTTTCGCTATCTTGCTTCAAAGCATCGTTTACAAATGTTTGATATTTGCTCGAGGTTTATCAGCCAGACATGTTACATCATCAGAATGAGTTGGCAATCACACACCATTCATGATAAAGTACAGTTTTAAAAAAAGCTTTACGCCATAGACTTAATTTTGGTCAGACAAAAATGCCAAAAATTATGATATGTGTTTTATTGTTGATAGCTATTGGAATTGTACAACTGTTGTTTTTTGTGGCAGTTGCCAGACATTTTTACAGAATCAACTGGTCAGGTGATTTGCCAATAATGTAATTATTCCATATGATTTTCTGTCTAGACAAAACTTCAATCAATAATGTTAGAGAAGAAGCCAGTGCTTTCAAATAGCCATTTCAACAATTGTGGTCTCATGCCTATAACCAGTGTTACATAAATGAAGGTCTTTGTAATACTTTTGAATAATAACATTATTGTGGTATTGAAATTTGGGATAAATAACTTGAGGTCAAATTGTCAACACCCTGAGTTTCTGGGCTTTGAAATGAAGTAACAGCCAATAGTGTGTTAGTATAATGTGAGTTCCAACTGTCAGTGCTCAGACACTCAGGGTTAATGTATGGACCTTCATTATATCCATTCCCATGCAAATTGCTATCAATTCTAATGAATGGTAGGTTTTTCGGATAGGGTGTCATCATTTGAAGCTGACCTGAAATGGCTGTTGTAATGTGTTTACGGTTATGGTCAGATGGTTTGTGCGACTGGTACATGACCATTGGTCCCCATGGCGAGTTTAGGGTTATGTGCAATGGATTTCACCTTCACAGAACATTTAACAACCCAAAAGTTAAGGGAGATGTGTTTACGACATGCAAAATGGGGGCACACTGTTTTATGTTTTAACTGATTAGTATTGACCCCTCTGTATCTCTCACTGATGTTTAACATTGCAATGGAATCATGAAAACATTCATAGTTTGTGTACTTGTCAGCATACCTTTCTGAATGTCTCATTTCACCAAGTAGTGGGTAGAAAGAATCCTGTTTGATGTGGTGTCATATTGTGTGTCCCTTATTTATAGGGACCGTGCGTGCATGCATCGAGACTATAACTGGTGTAAGGACAATGCTAAGAAAGAAATAGTGTTTTTGCAATTATTATATTGTCAAGACTTTAAAGGCATGTTGACTGCATAGTATGCAGACCTGTCTGCTTATTATTGATGTCTTTTTGAATGTTACATGGTCCATGTATTGAAGGCTGGTGCCTTCTAGAATGCAAAAAAAAATGGAACTACTCCTGAAAGCAGGGCGCAATTTAGACATTTTTGGCACAGATAAAAATCACCTAGTGTTACCTTACATTGAGGATTAACTAGCATTGGAAAGGAGAGAACATTATATGTAGACCTTGTTAGATGTCAGGTGCTATAGCCTTATTTTTTCTGGAGAAACTATAATTTCAACCGATGAGTCATAGCTGTTGGTTGCCATAGAAAATGTACATATTTCATCATATTGTGCAAAACACTATGATCACAATAAAGTGTCGAACACTAATAGTAATGTGTTTTTATTTTTTGCATTCATCATTCAAAACTTCCTTAAGACTTTTATCTTTCAGTAGAAAATTATCTTTAAAAATAGATCTAAGTCAGATAAAAAGCTACACGAATCTGTGACATGGTCTGACAAATCTAGGTGAAACAAATTTTTTAAAAATGTTATGGGACACACTGTTGGTATGTTTTTATGTGTTCAAATCCTTTTGTGATGATGACTAAACAAGGAGGGTGCACAAAATTCTTTAATTACTCATCATCAGGAATTCTGGGCATATTTCAGTGGCACACTTATAGAACCCCACTCTTTAGGCAGGCCACATAAAAAAGCCATTTCTGAAGGATTTCCACAAACTCCATTTCATGGGTGGCTGCTGCAATGAAGTTACCCCAAGAGGTCAGCTACTGGCTACTAATGCCATGCTAAAATACCCATTCATCATGTTTAAGTGTGAAATTTGATGTTTTCTGGGCAAGTAAATATATTGATTGCATAGCAATGATAGGGCGGGTGAACAGAGGGCAAGGGTATTGCCAATTCCTACTCAGTCTAGAGTTTGAGGATTGTTAAATTTAGAATTTAGAATTGTGTGTGTGTGTGTGTGTGTGTGTGTGTGCATCCGCGCCCTCACAATGATCTTTCCCTTGATGTTCACTTTTCCACCTCATCTCTTTGCACCTACAAGATATATATTTGCACTTAAAAGTACACTGGCCCCTGATTAAAACCAGAACTGCAAGAAAAATGCATCAAGACCTGGGCAAATGGTCTTGGATAAGTTGTGATGTGGTTTTGGACAATTACTGATGTACATTCTTCGAAATGTGCTATCTTGAACGAAACCAGTCGTCATGAAACTTTGATATGGTTTTACAGAGATTTGAAGAAAACAGACATTGCAACACATTATTTCCATCAAAAAAGCAGTCGACAGCACCATACCAATCAAATAATAGATTAAAATAAATAAATAAACTAAGTAATAAAAAATAAATGAAGGAAAACCAGATTGCATGTGATGTCACAGGTTGCTTGAATGAAAATCAACGTAAAAAAATAATAATGAATAAAT